AGCCAATAGAACAGGACCTGAAGAGTGCACATGGGTTGGCCCCCTAGTTTTTAAGGGCTCATTTTCCATCCTGTTTTTTCAGCAATCGATTGAAACAAGTTAGGTCCTTTAAAGGGGAGTCCTCCGACTGACACTCCCCGGTCTTTGCGTTGGTGTTTCGCTTTTTTTGGGGGAAAAATTTTTTTTTGTACCTGATAAATTTTAAATTCCCCATGTTTCCTTTGATATTGAAATTTTTCGTTTAACCGTTGAACCGTTGAAGGCTGGGGCATAATAGCTTTAATTTTCTGGGATAGTGAGCTTATATTAACGTCAGGTGTAGCAGACGAGGGGATAGTCACTAGTAGGCGGGGTATTTCCCGTGGAAGTAGGCCCTTTCCCCCAAAAATGTAATAACCCTTTGCGACTCACAACCCCTACTACAAATAACCCCCTCCTTTTGGGGAAACCCCCCTACCCGTGACTATGCCCTCGTCTGCTACACCTTACGTTCTATCAAAGGGCCCGGCCCTTCTTCTGTTTCAGAACTCACAACACATGAAAAAAAATTCGTTTCCTAGCCCAGATCCAAAGGAGGGGGACAGGTTACCGCCGGGGGAATATTATGGCGCATCAAAACCAACCCCCAAAAAGTCAAAGATCACTTCTTTTCCGGAAACGTGATGTCCCGACTCCTGTCGAACTCAAAACAAGCACCTCCCCTACCCCCATCCCACGCTCCTGCTCGACAGTTGTCCTTGGTGTTACCCTCGACAACACACTGAACCTAAAATCTCACATTACTGCTAAGTCCACACAGGCGGGAATTGCACTCTCAAGATTATATAAGCTGAGAGGAGCCAGTCCCAAGACAAAACTACATCTCTAAAAAGCACTCATTCGTCCTCTACTCTCTTACTCTCCACTCGCTCTGACATTAACTGCCAAGACAAACGCACTAAAGTTCCAACGCATCCAGAATCGAGCATTACGTTGGGTGTTGGGAGTGAGGTGGGACGAATTTGCCACCAGTGAATCTCTCCACCTCACGACAAACACACCAGCTTTGAACGTATACTGGAAGACACTAAGTGATAAACAACTTGACAGACTTGAAGCATATCATGACCACAGGACTACATAGCTGATACTCTCAGACGTCCTTACAGTGATGTAAATCTCTTTCAAACATTGTATGATCCGGCACCTCCACCACAATACAAATAAACTACCTGACTTATTTAGCTTAAATATTCAAATAACTTAAAAGTGCCATTGCCGTAGAGCTGTGTCTTTGTGCGTTTCGAGCTGAAGTGCTTGTGACGTGCGTTTTGCGTTGCCTTTTTGCGGTAACATATCCCTGAGCCGTATCCAGTCATTGCGAGTTGAAATGCTCACGAGAGAGATAATGCTGAATATTATGTTTTCTTTGATTAGCAGTTGGGTATAGTCCTGACACTTTTCCTCCTTCCTAAGATTTTTTCCTCTCTACAACTATCTTCTTCTGTCCCCACTTGCCCCTCGCCCCTAGTGGGCCCTTACCTGTGAGTCCAGTTTCGTTTCGTTTCTGTTTCAGAACTTCCACGACTACGGTGCTCTTCGCGCCTACTCCAAGGCTGAGGGACTGATTACCTCATCTTCTGTATATAGTCCTACTGTCTTTAAGTTATGTCCTGGAATTTGTATTGATAAAGCCAATGGATGGCGAAACGTCTACAATAAAGATTCCCAGATGTTGCACATGTGTCTTAATTTCATCAAGACTTCAGAGATGGCGAAGCTGCCTTTGTTTTGTTTAATTGTATTCGAAACAGTGATTAGTACTGATTCAAGGTAGATCACAGGTATTTAGGAGGTAGATCCCTAGTATTTACAAGGTAGATCCCTGGTGTTTACAAGGTAGATCCTTGGTATTTACAAGGTAGACCCCTGGTTTTTACAAGGTAGATCACTGGTATTTACAAGGTAGATCCCTGGTATTTACAAGGTAGATCCCTGGTTTTTACAGGGTAGATCCCTGGTATTTACGAGGTAGATCCCTGGTATTTACGAGGTAGATCCCTGGTATTTACAAGGTAGATCCCTGGTTTTTACAGGGTAGATCCCTGGTATTTACGAGGTAGATCTCTGGTATTTACAAGGTAGATCCCTGGTATTTACAAGGTAGATCCCTGGTATAATATAATGCAGAGAATTCGTAGTTTGGAACTTAGGAGGAGGTGCGGGATTACCAAAACTGTTGTCCAGAGGGCTGAGGAAGGGTTGTTGAGGTGGTTCGGACATGTAGAGAGAATGGAGCGAAACAGAATGACTTCAAGAGTGTATCAGTCTGTAGTGGAAGGAAGGCGGGGTAGGGGTCGGCCTAGGAAAGGTTGGAGGGAGGGGGTAAAGGAGGTTTTGTGTGCAAGGGGCTTGGACTTCCAGCAGGCGTGCGTGAGCGTGTTTGATAGGAGTGAATGGAGACGAATGGTTTTTAATACTTGACGTGCTGTTGGAGTGTGAGCAAAGTAACATTTATGAAGGGGTTCAGGGAAACCGGCAGGCCGGACTTGAGTCCTGGAGATGGGAAGTACAGTGCCTGCACTCTGAAGGAGGGGTGTTAATGTTGCAGTTTAAAAACTGTAGTGTAAAGCACCCTTCTGGCAAGACAGTGATGGAGTAAATGATGGTGAAAGTTTTTCTTTTTCGGGCCACCCTGCCTTGGTGGGAATCGGCCAGTGTGATAATAAAAAATAAATAATCCCTGGTATTTACAAGGTAGATCCTGGTATTTACAAGGCAGATTCCTGGTATTTACGAGGTAGATCCCTGGTATTTACAAGGTAGATCCCTGTTTTTTACAGGGTAGATCCCTGGTATTTACGAGGTAGATCTCTGGTATTAACAAGGTAGATCCCTGGTATTTACAAGGTAGATCCCTGGTATTTACAAGGTAGATCCTGGTATTTACGAGGCAGATTCCTGGTATTTACGAGATAGATCCCTGGTATTTACAAGGTAGATCTCAGGTATTTACAAGGTACATCCTGGTATTTACAAGGTAGATCCCTGGTATTTACAAGGTAGATCCCTGGTATTTACAAGGTAGATCCTGGTATTTACAAGGTAGATCCCTGGTATTTACAAAGTAGATCCTGGTATTTACAAGGTAGATCCTGGTATTTACAAGGTAGATCCCTGGTATTTACAAGGTAGATCCCTGGTATTTACAAGGTAGATCTCAGGTATTTACAAGGTACATCCTGGTATTTACAAGGTAGATCCCTGGTATTTACAAGGTAGATCCCTGGTATTTACAAGGTAGATCCCTGGTATTTACAAGGTAGATCCTGGTATTTACAAGGTAGATCCCTGGAATTTACAAGGTAGATCCCTGATATTTACAAGGTAGATCCTGGTATTTACAAGGTAGATCCTGGTATTTACAAGGTAGATCCCTGGTATTTACAAGGTAGATCCCTGGTGTTTACAAGGTAGATCCCTGATATTTATAAGGTAGATCCTGGTATTTACAAGGTAGATCCTGGTATTTACAAGGTAGATCCCTGGTATTTACAAGGTAGATCCTGGTATTTACAAAGTAGATCCTTGGTATTTACAAGGTAGATCCTGGTATTTACAAGGTAGACCCTGGTATTTACAAGGTAGATCCTGGTATTTACAAGGTAGATCCCTGGTATTTACAAGGTAGATCCTGGTATTTACAAGGTAGATCCTGGTATTTACAAGGTAGATCCCTGGTATTTACAAGGTAGATCCTGGTATTTACAAAGTAGATCCTTGGTATTTACAAGGTAGATCCTGGTATTTACAAGGTAGATCCTGGTATTTACAATGTAGATCCCTGGTATTTACAAGGTAGATCTTGGTATTTACAAGGTAGATCCCTGGTATTTACAAGGTAGATCCCTGGTATTTACAAGGTAGATCCTGGTATTTACAAAGTAGATCCTTGGTATTTACAAGGTAGATCCTGGTATTTACAAGGTAGATCCCTGGTATTTACAAGGTAGATCCTGGTATTTACAAGGTAGATCCCTGGTATTTACAAGGTAGATCCTGGTATTTACAAGGTAGATCCTGGTATTTACAAGGTAGATCCCTGGTATTTACAAGGTAGATCCTGGTATTTACAAAGTAGATCCCTGGTATTTACAAGGTAGATCCTGGTATTTACAAGGTAGATGCTGGTATTTACAATGTAGATCCCTGGTATTTACAAGGTAGATCTTGGTATTTACAAGGTAGATCCCTGGTATTTACAAGGTAGATCCCTGGTATTTACAAGGTGGATCCTGGTATTTACAAGGTAGATCCTGGTATTTTCAAGGTAGATCCTGGTATTTACAAGGTAGATCCCTGGTATTTACAAGGTAGATCCTGGTATTTACAAGGTAGATCCTGGTATTTACAAGGTAGATCCCTGGTATTTACAAAGTAGATCCTGGTATTTACAAGGTAGATCCTGGTATTTACAAGGTAGATCCCTGGTATTTACAAAGTAGATCCTTGGTATTTACAAGGTAGATCCTGGTATTTACAAGGTAGATCCTGGTATTTACAATGTAGATCCCTGGTATTTACAAGGTAGATCTTGGTATTTGCAAGGTAGATCCCTGGTATTTACAAGGTAGATCTCTGGTATTTACAAGGTAGATCCCTGGTATTTACAAGGTAGATCCTGGTATTTACAAGGTAGATCCTGGTATTTACAAGGTAGATCCCTGGTATTTACAAAGTAATCCTGGTATTTACAAGGTAGATCCTGGATTTACAAGGTAGATCCTGGTATTTACAAGGTAGATCCTGGTATTTACAAGGTAGATCCTGGTATTTACAAGGTAGATCCCTGGTATTTACAAAGTAGATCCTGGTATTTACAAGGTAGATCCTGGTATTTACAAGGTAGATCCTGGTATTTACAAGGTAGATCCTGGTATTTACAAGGTAGATCTTGGTATTTACAAGGTAGATCCCTGGTATTTACAAGCAGAGGACGCCCTGACGCCGGTCTGCCGCTGCGACCCTTAACAGCACGTTGGTTGTGTTGCTGCTGCTGCTGCTGCACACTCTGCCACACTCTCTATTTCACTCTTTATGGTGTACCCGAGGCTCTCACTCTACAACACCAGCACACCAGGTAAGTCTCACCTCCACCACACCACCTAACACCCTCCTGGTTGCTTGGTTAATAAGTAAGTTAGTGGTTGAAGATGATCCACTACACTTGAGGTTATCATGGCTACGTGTCCTCCAGCTTCATCACAAAGCCAGGGCTGCTTTAAACACCTAAAATAAGAATTAAAGTAAATTCTGAACGTGTGTATATAGAGTGAGGCATACACCACTGGGTGTGTGCATGGTGTGAGGTCCTGGGGTGTACATACAGTGTTAATAATGAACATCAAGCAGCAGCCTCCACACACTCGCCAGCCCGGGAAAACTTTTTTTTGGTGATGCGAGATGAATATTTGCCTTGTCTCTTGTTAATTACCTCACTTAGTGCTGTTTCGCGTGCTTATTTATTATTTGTAGGTGATGAGGATCAAGCTGGGACCAGAAGCTAACTTGTAAGAATAAAAATAAGTCCAGGACCCCCAGTGAAAATGAGTCACTTTCATGTTATCTTAGGTAGTTTAAACTGTGTATGATAATTGTACTTATGTGTACCTGTGTGTGTGTGCCTAAGTCAACTTGCTGCCTACCCACCTATGTGAGTAGGGGAGCACTAAATCTGTAGAGGGTCATACAGCACTTGGAGGGGGGGGGTTGATGATGGGAGTTGTTATGTAAGTTTATTCAGGTATACACAAATACAGTTACATACATTATCATACATAGCAGCATATGTGTAAAGTACCTGGGATAACCCAAAAAAGTCACAGAGTGACTTATTTCCATTGGGGTCCTCTTACCTTATTATTATAATATAAAGGTTATAATATCTTATTATTATTCTATAAAAGAGATAACGTCCTAAAATTACATGTGTGTTAGCTAAAAAAATAAAAAAAATCATTCCCCTCCCTTTCTGTAGCTACATTCATCAGACACCTTTTGGCAGTCTTCTTGAACTGGTTCATGCTATGACTGGCTTTGACATGTGCGGGCAGTCTGTTCCATTCCTTTATTGCTGTACAATATAAGGTGTTTGAAGCCTGGCCACTGACTGTGGGTACTACAAAGTTGTGCTCTCTACCCCTAGTACTATGATTGCTTTGGTTCCCAACCTTGACAAAATTGACAGCAAGATATTCTGGACACTGTTTGTGAGCAATTTTATAAACATGATTTAGCTTCAGTTGTTTTACTCTGTCTTCAACATTCAGCATATCCAACTGCTGTAATTCATCCTGGCCTACATGCTCTCTTGAACCCAGGTCCAGGATGAATCTTACGATTTTGTTCTGGGTGATTTGCAGTCTATCTTTCAGTGTTTCTGTCAAGGCAGAGTACCATGAAGATCAAGCATAATCCATATGACACTGTATAAGGGCTAGACATAGGGGCCTGGGAGCCTCAGTAGGTAGACACTGTGCTTGTCTCTAGAGGAATTTCAGTCTGGCATTCACTTTCTTTACTACACTGTTCCCTATCAATTCTCCTGACATGCATGGGTCAAAGGGGATTCCCAGATATGTTACTGAGGAAACTGAAGTGATGGGCTCCCCATTACACTGGACATTAAAATTATTTACCCTTCTGCTGCAGGACTCCAGTTCCAGTATTAATACATTAGCTATATCATGTGGGTCTTTACCTGACAAACAGAGCACTGTCATCTGCATACAGTAGGAGTTTGCACTTGACACTGATAGGCATGTCGTTAACATAGCGTAGGAATAAGAAGGGACTCGGAATACTACCTTGGGGAACTTCACATTCTATCGGCAGGGGTTCTTATTTCATTTTGTTGATTTTGACAATTTGTCACCTGTTGTTAAGGTAGGACTTAACCAGTCTACAGAACCTATACCGATAGCTTGAAGTTTCTTACGTAATATATTGTGGTTGACAGTATAGAAGGCCTTTTGCAGGTCTAAGGTTACCATACCTATGAGGTTCCCCATCGACATCTCAGTTCTCAAGTAATCCATCAGATTAATTAGGAAGGTGTTGGTTGAGTAAGATCTTCTAAAGCTTGATTGATAGCTATGGAGAATGTTGTTGTCATTAAGGTACTTAACTACTTGACAGTACAAGGACCCCAATGGAAATATGTCATTTTATTTTTACTTTTTTGGGGGGTTATACTATGTAATTTACACTTGGTGCTATGTAAAATAATTGTACTTGTGTACCTGCACCTAAATAAACTTATTTACTAATCCTAGGAAAGGGAAGTCAGGTCCTGTTCCATAGATCAAGTGCCTCTTACTGGTAACTCCCTTTGAGGGGCTAAGAACATGTCAGTATGAGATCACAGAAGTAGGCCTCCTGGCCTATTTAGATTTATTTGTATTTTGATTCTTTATTTCCAATCAGCAAATTTCAAAATACATAATCAGAAAGCCCATAGGATACACAGTCAAGTTTTTAAGAACTATATACTAGTAGTTTGAGTTATGATTTTTTTTATATATAAGGATAGCACGCAGCAGATGGTGGATCAAGCCTCCACTACGTCTTGCGCCAAATGACCCACGTGGGTTTAGCGCTTAACACAAATTATTTACATTTATTAATATCTGTACATGGATGAATAAGACACATCTAACACCTGGACATATTTATTTTGAGGATTTTTGCCATCCATTACATACAGCAGTCAGAAATGAGGCATTCAGTCTCTGAGCCTTGATCAGTCTGAAGAAGAGGCTGGAAAGTACACATTTAGCCCATGCTAGGCAGGTCCATCTCATACCCACTCATATGCACAACCAACCTGAGTGATGCTAACTTGGAATTTGTTCCATTCATCAAATGCAAAATCTTTATTGCTAAGAATCATCCATAGAAATTACAATGATTGAGTATGTAGTTTATTCAGGTGCATTTTTGATGCGATTATGGCGCAAGTATCATTTGATACATTTGAATGCTCTAAACTTTAGAGTCTAAAGAAAACCACTTAATAGGCAGACCAGTACTTCTCCTATATCCCCTTTAAATCTAAATTTGACCTATATTAATAATAATAATTTTTATTTCTACAAGTACATGATACAACGTATACATACAGACCTAGCTGACATAGTAAAATACTGTATAGAAAGCCCCTTGTTATGCAGAACATTTGGGGCTAATTAGGTCAATTTTGTCCCTCAGGATGCAACCTACACCAGTCGACTAACACCCAGGTACCTATTTACTGGTAGGTGAACAGAGACAGCAGGTGTAAGGAAACACACCCAGTGTTTCCAGCCTTACCAGGGATCAATCCACGGACACTCAGTGTGTAGGCTGAGTGCGCTACCAACTGAGGTGCTGTTGGTAGTAAAGTTTTCCCTATTACTCGGATTCCTAAAATATAATCAAGGGTGATTGGCCATGGTTTAGGCTGTCCCAATAATTGAAGTGTACCTAGTAATTACCCATAAAACAAACCTCGTGGTAGGGAGCACTTACATTTCTCAGGAAAATCACCAAAAATCAAATATTAACTCCATTTTAAGGCCTATTTTAATCTACATTGGCTCTGAAACTGAACAGTATCATCTAATTCACTAATATGTCTTACATTCTATCAATAGATACAAAAGAAACCCAATAAAGGCATAAAAAAAAATGCAAAGTTGCTATTTTAAATCCAACATAGTCAGAGGTTTGCTGTTTCCATCATGCACTTTTGGGGCAAAATTCTTTTTTTTTTTTTTATACTGTGCACTGTCACTGAACTTGCCCATTCTCTCATGTTTAGGCCAAAATGTACCACTCACTACATATTTGAAGGCATTGTGCTTAAGACTTAGATCTACATGAGCGGCACTGTCAAGAAGACAGTGAAATGGTTAAGAACTATATATTAGTTTAATTTTATTTTTTAAGGGTCTATGCAAGGTATCAGGAAGTTATAAAAGATACAGGTTACAAAATTATTAAAAAGTAAAGAAAAAAAGAATTGTAATTGTTTAGTTGTAAAAGAGGATAACTAATACATGTATATGAAATTACAATACAGGATAATGTAGTACAGTATAAGTTGTTTGAAGATTATTTCAGCAGACATACACAAACAGACAAACATTTTATTTTCTTGTGCAGTATAAAAAAAGTAGTTTATATGTAATAAAATATTGTTAAGCACAAAAGAAAGCCATTAGCATGCATGTGCATTTCAGGCAGACTAATGCTAATGTTTACACACTACTTAAAACTAGACATAGATATTGAGTAGTACAGTTATGAGCAGAACTGGCCTTAGGAGGTGCGGGACCCAATTGGGAACAGTTTTGGTGGGCCCCATGTATGGAAAGCAATCAAACCGTGCATTTAAAAATGCATGCAAGTTAATAGACCAAACAGAGATGTAAGCTATGTCTTAATATAATATTGCATACATGTAAGGCTACAAGTAACAAACAAAATTTGTATATCACCTCTGAAAAGTACATACATAGTCACAATACCACTTGCTTTAGTGACTTTGAAATGATTTATAAAAAAATATTAATTTATTTTTGTTCAGAAAAAAAAAAATCAGAATTTAAGTGCACTGTTGGAAAAAAAATTATCTTTTTTGGACTTATAAAAATCACTTAACATTCACAAACTATAAATGAGTCATATTATTATTGCTTTTTATTAGGAGAAAATTATTTTTCTTGCTCTTTTTGTCTGCCAAGTCTTTTAGAATTTTGTCAAAGTTTAAACTCCTGCTAATTTCAGATTCATTGACATAATCGTCAAACTATTCAAACGTTCTTGCTGAATTGATGATCTCAAGTAAGTTTTGATCAGTTTCAGCTTGGAAAAACTCCTTACTCCAAATGTCACAGTCACTGGGATTGTCAGGAAAATCCAAAGAGCAATAAATACATTTGGAAATGTGGTAGATCTGCTGTTGCAAGCAAGTAATTCAAGCATTTTCATGGGGTTTTAAATCTCTGATGGCAGAATTGACTGTAGTGCCTCCATTTCCTCACAAAGCATGTATCCATCTATATCAGCCCATTTTGTGGTTTTTAACTTTATCTTTTTCCTGTGCCACCTCTGTCAGCCCCACTTCCAGATCTACTGCACATTTTCTTATGGTATCCTTGGGCAGGTCCTGAAAATTAAAGAAGAATCCAAATAAATTTTGATACTTTTTCAGTTCAAATCATGGCTCAAGTGTTTGCAGTGCTTTATCTACCACTTGATTAAAACATTGCACTCTGAAAGCTGTTTTTGGATCTGGCAAAGGTTCATCTGCAGATTCATAATCAAATAATTTTCTTTTTTTGCATAAGCACTTACTCTGAGTCTTGAATACAGGCTTAGCATCTAGGTCTTGGGCAAGTTCACTAGTGTCAATCAATGCTTCATAATAACCTTTTTCCCTGTATGTCTTTAACCAGTTACAAAACCTTTGGAATGAAGAAAGCCCTGTAGCAACATCTATGGTATCACACTGAAGTTCATTACTCACATAATTTACTTGAAAGAGTAAGTGCCAGAAAACTAGTGATATCAGAAATTCGCAATCTCTCATTTGGCTGACTAACGATTCAGCATCACTTTTTGCTTGAGCATCATCATTGTTTTCTGCTAACTCTTCTAGTGCATTACAAACTTCAGCAGCTTGGTACTGTACAGCTTTGACACTTTCCATTCTACATTCCCATCGTGTTTCAGAGAGAGGTTTTACAGACACGCCTGTCACATGTTTTCTAAAAACAGTCCATCTTTTAGTAGATATGCAAAAAGGGTGTAAATATGCTGCAGAGTTCCAAAGAAAGTCATTGCATCTGGACATGTCTCCCAAAACTAGGTTGTAGTTGTGACATGCACATGGTGTAAAGAAAGCTCTTGAGTTCTTCTGTAGAAGTCGTGCCTGCACACTTGAGGTGTGTCCCATCATATTGGCACTGTTATCATACCCTTGTCCACGGATATTTTCAGCATTCAACCCTAATGTTTCAAGTTCGTGTAGAAGGGTGTTGTACTAATTTTCACCTGTGCTACTTTCCACCACTAAAAACTTAATGAAATGTTCATATACTCCTGCTGGAGCACGTGATTGTACACCATCAGCTACGTATCTAATTACCATCGACATTTGCTCCTGATGACTGATGTCAGGAGTACAGTCAAGAATTACTGCAAATACTTAGCAGCCTTGATTCGTAAAATGATTTCCTGTAGAACAGCTTGACCCTTTATATTAACCCCTTCAGGGTCCAAGGCCCAAATCTGAAGTGGTGCTCCAGTGTCCAAGAATTTTCAAAAAAAAATTTGTTATTTTTCTTATGAAATGGTAGAGAATCTTTTTGTGAAGGTAATAAAAAAAAAGTACGAAATTTGATGGAAAATTGACGAAATTATGCTCTCGCGAATTTTGATGTGTCAGCGATATTGACGAATCGGCGATTTTGCCGACTTTGACTCCCAGTTTAGGCCAATTACATTATTCCAGTCAACCAAATTCTTAGCTATTTCACTAGTATTCCTTCTATTCTATCGACTGAGCACAAGAAATCGCCAAGTCAACTGTTTCAACTACAAATTAAAGTGATTGGAAATTGTTAATTTGGCCAATTTAAAACAAAGTTCAAAATATTCCAATTTCAAAATAGGGTCCAGAATAAACAATGTAGGTATTCCTGGAACTAAACTAACATTTTTTTCTGTTCATTAGTTATGTTTTGAGGCTTTACAAATAAATTCCATTTTGATTTTTATTCACATAATGAATTTTTATTCACACCAAAAAATAGAAGATTTACTGTTATGCAATACTGTAATAATTGTATAAATATCATCACCATATTTGTGAATGCATATTAGACCCACCAGCTGGCATGTATTAGACGTATGAGGTCGTTTGTTTACTCTTGAATATCGGCAAAAATTTAACATTTCTGCTACTTTGAGCTCAGTTTCAAGCCATTTCCAGTGCTAAAACCAATCAAAATCATCTATATTTCTGTAATATGTCTTCCATTCTATCAAATGAGACCAAGAAATCGCAAATACAACTATAAAAAACATACGAAAAAACACTGCAAAGTCGCTGTTTTAATCGAAAAATCATGATTTCAGTTTTTTTCTCTCATTATACACAGTGTGCTGCAGGATCTGTGTTATGTGGTGCACACATACCACATAGATGTATTCTCTCATATCTAGGCCCAAATGTACCACTCACAGTTTATCAGAGTGAGCTGAGCTCATGACGTAGATCTACGGTTTGGACCCTGAACGTAAAGCCGTAGATCTACGGGACGGACCCTGAAAGGGTTAATGTTCATTTTGGATTCTTTTTCCTAAATAATGATCATGTATTTCTTTATTCTGGATTTTTTGCAGATGATATTGCATTACTGGATCAAACTTTCCTAGCAACTTAACAACACCAAGGAAATTTCCATTATGTGATGTTCCTATGTGCTCTTCAGATCCCCAGAATGGCAAGTTTCTTTCTGCCAGGAACTGTACAGTGGCTACCTGTCGCTCAAATGTTTGATGCCAGCATTTTGCTTCTCGTCTGGTTAGTTTTTCTGCCACATCATCAATCGTTTTTTCAGCAGATGATCTTTTGCTCTAGTTCACAGCAACTGAGCATAGCTTGCAAATGCTTTTTGAAGTTCTCATGCTCAGCTAGTCTTGTATGAATGTTTGGCCAGTCATTAAAACCACTAGTACTTGCAAGTGCACTTGCTATGTTATCAGAAAGCTTGCAATAGTAACAGAAGATTTTATCACTTGATACAGAGTATAGTAGCCATGGACAATCTACAATTTCACCATTTGGCAGTTTTCTTTTGTAGGTGGTCCTTTTTTCACTAAATAGTCCCTGGAACTCTGACTTATCATTTCTGGCCATGTTGCAGGATCTTCTGATAATTCTACAGGATTGGCAAATTTTTAATTCCTATTCTCCCTTGCCTCAGAGGCACCAGCAGGCATGTCAACAGGCGAGTCTCCTTGTTTGTCAAATTCAGCATTTCTGAGATGGCCAGTCTCACTGTCGGTAAATAAATTCCCACTTTGATTGTCTTGCATAACTTCAGACTGGCTTCCTTCGGTGTCATCATCTTCACTGTGTTGTGGCTTTATTTGCTTTTCTGCATTTTCTGAGATAGTCTTGTTGAATTACTTATCTAATATGCCTTTCTCCTTTTCTGCTTTGGCCTTCTTTGCCTTGGCTACAGCCCTCTTCTTTCTACCACTTAAATATTTTCTGCCAGTGTCTCTTGGTCTTTTACTGATACGTATTTACAGAAACCACAGGATCCTAAAAAAAAAAAAAAAATGACATCTATCGCAGAACTGATAAAAAAAAAAGCTTACTGTTTTTAACCCGTAAACGGTCCAAACGTATATGTACGTTCACTACCCTAGTGCCCCGAATATTTTGAAAAATAATTTTTTTTTTTTTGTTGAAAAAAAAGAGCACATTTTTCTAAGTGTTATAGGATAAAAAAAAAATTAGAGTCAGTACTTACCGAGATATGAGGCCACAAAGTTGGCACTTGGGGATCACCTAGCGGCAACATGGAGCGCTGCCGCTTGCAAAAGTGTTGCCGATATAACTTTTTTCTATTTTTCATATTTATATAAATTTCATGTTCTGATAATTACAATTTATAGTAGTTCTTGTCATTTCATAACCAATCTTTGTTCTGACGCTAGTATTAGGTACTGAAATTGTACTCAAATTGTCACAAACACACTGACAGGTGGACATTTACACCTGCCTTGGCCATTTACTATTGTCTTGGAATATATACAAAGTATTTTTATGTCCCAGCAATGTTTTGGATATGTGGAAGTATATAATAACAATGAGGAGGAGGAGGAGGATAATAATAATAATAATAATAATCTTTCTTTCTTTCAACACACCGGCCGCATCCCACCGAGGCGGGGTGGCCCAAAAGGAAAAACGAAAGTTTCTCCTTTTACATTTAGTAATATATACAGGAGAAGAGGTTACTAGCCCCTTGCTCCCGGCATTTTAGTTGCCTCTTACAACACGCATGGCTTACGGAGGAAGAATTCTGTTCCACTTCCCCATGGAGAAATAATAATAATACATAATAATAAAATAATAAGTTGCCTTGAAGCATGAAAAACAAAGTCCACCCCTGACAGTGACATGATAAGATGAGATAACGTCTGATAAGAGCTGATGTTTGATGAGCATACAGGAGGGTGGGGGAGGGTGCAGCAGATAAGAAAAGATTAGAGGTGACGTTTGATGAGCATCGCCCTCCTTTGTTTTCGCTGGTACACAAACATGTCTGCCTATTTGTCTGTTTGTCAAACTCCCTGTCTGTCTATCCGTCTAGCTCTCTGTCTCAGAGAGAGCCACAAAACTGCGTCATCACCTTTACTCACATCTTCAAGCAGAGTACAGTGGACCCCCGGTTAACGATTTTAATCCGTGCAAGAGGGATAATTGTTATGCGAAATAATCGTTATGTGAATGAATTTTCCCCATAAGAAATAATGGAAATAAAATTAATCCGTGCAAGACGCCCAAAAGTATGAAAAAAATTTTTTTTTACCACATGAAATGTTAATTTTAATACACACAAACTGAAAAAGGCATGCACAATTACATGACACTTACTTTTATTGAAGATCTGGTGATGATTGATGGGATGGGAGGAGGGGAGAGCATTATCTTCTTACTGTTTAGAAGGGGAATCCCCTTCCATTAGGACTTGAGGTAGTAAGTCCTTTTCTGGGGTTACTTCCCTTCTTTTTTTAATGCCACTAGGGCCAGCTTCAGAGTCACTGGACTTCTTTCGCACAAGATATCTGTCCATAGTGGCCTGTACCTCTCATTCCTTTATGACTTGCCTAAAGTGTTTCACAACATTGTCAGTGTAATAATCACCAGCACGGCTTGCAATAGCTGTGTGAGGGTGATTTTCATCCATGAAGGTTTGCACTTCAAGCCACTTTGCACAGATTTCCTTTATCTTTGTAGTAGGCAACTTCTTCAATTTCTCTCTCCCCTCCTCTGAACCAGTTTCCCCAGGTCTGGCCTCTTGCTCTTGAAGTTGATCTATCAGCTCATCAGTGGTTAGTTCTTCATTGTCCTCCTCCACCAACTCTTCCACATCCTCCCCACTAACCTCCAACCCCAAGGACTTTCCCAATGCCACAATGGATTCCTCAACTGGCACAGGATTCTCAGGGTTAGCCTCAAACCCTTCAAAATCCCTTTTGTCTACACATTCTGGCCACAGTTTCTTCCAAGCAGAGTTCAAGGTCCTCTTAGTCACTTCCTCCCAAGCCTTACCTATAAGGTTTACACAATTGAGGATATTAAAGTGATCTCTCCAAAACTCTCTTAGAGTCAGTTGAGTTTCTGAGGTCATTACAAAGCACCTTTCAAACAGAGCTTTTGTGTACAGTTTCTTGAAGTTGGAAATAACCTGCTGGTCCATGGGCTGCAGGAGAGGAGTGGTATTAGGAGGCAAAAACTTCACCTTAATGAAGCTCATGCCCCCATAAAGTCGCTCTGCCACGTCTGTAGGATGACCAGGGGCATTGTCTAACACCAGGAGGCACTTAAGTTCTAATTTCTTTTCAGTTAGGTAATTTTTCACATTGGGGGCAAATGCATGGTGTAACCAGTTATAGAAAAATTCCCTAGTGACCCATGCCTTACTGTTTGCCCTCCACAGCACACACAAATTATCCTTGAGGACATTCTTTTTGCCTGAACGCTCTGGGAGTTTCAGAGTGATACACTAATAAAGGCTTCACTTTGCAATCACCAGTAGCATTGGCACACATCAACAAAGTAAGCCTGTCTTTCATAGGCTTATGTCCTGGGAGTGCCTTTTCCTCCTGAGTAATGTAGGTCCTGCTTGGCATTTTCTTCCAGAACAGGCCTGTTCATCACAATTAAACACTTGTTCAGGTTTCAGTCCTTCAGTTTCTATGTACTCCTTGAATTCCTGCACATATTTTTCAGCCGCTTTGTGGTCCGAACTGGCAGCCTCACCATGCCTTATCACACTATGGATGCCACTACGCTTCTTAAATCTCTCAAACCAACCTTTGCTGGCCTTAAATTCACTCACATCATCACTAGTTGCAGGCATTTTTTTAATTAAATCCTCATGCAACTTCCTAGCCTTTTCACATATGATCGCTTGAGAGATGCTATCTCCTGCTAGCTGTTTTTCATTTATCCACACCAATAAGAGTCTCTCAACATCTTCCATCACTGCGATCTTTGTTTCGAAAACACAGTTGAACCTTTGGCAAGAACAGCTTCCTTGATTGTCTTTCTGGTGCCCACAATAGTAGCGATGGTTGATTGGGGTTTCTTGTACAGCTTGACTAGGTCGGCTATACGCACTCCACTTTCATACTTATCAATTATCTCTTTCTTCATTTCTATAGTAATTCTTACCCTTTGAGGTGTAGGGTTGGCACTAGAAGCTTTCTTGGGGCCCATGGTCACTTATTTTCCAGAAACAGCACCGAAAATACTGTAATAATACGAAATATTCCGAGTGTATGCTTGGATGTTACCGCGGAGGCTGGCTGGTAAACAATGGGACGGGCGGCACATGTGAGGCTGGCTGAGGGCACATTGGACGCGTCTCGGACGAAAATCGGTGAGCGGGTTTTTAATCGGTATGCGCGGCAAAAATTTTGCGATAAAAGTAATCGGTATGCGGAAAAATCGCTATGTGATGCCATCGTTATGCGGGGGTCCACTGTATAGCACTTTGTCTGGATTTTTTGGGTTATCTTAGGTAATTTACAATATACGTGTATTTATGTGTACCTGTGAGACAGAGATAAACATAGATACAGACAGACAAGCGGAGATAGAGCCAGGCTGCCAGCAGCCTGCCAGCCACACAGCTGGCCACCATGCAGCTGGCCAGCCAACCAGCTAGCCAGCCAGCCAGCTAGCCAGTCAGCCAGCCAGCCAGCCAGTCAGCCTGCCAACCAGCCAGCCAGAATTGTTTCTCTTGACTTAGGGCATAGATTGTAAGACATTCTGAAAGGGTATTGCACAAATATTGCACATGGGTTATTATTGAGGTTTTTTGATATTTCCTCGACCCCTTGTGGCCACATCCTCCTCAAAGCCACTAAACTCAGCGTCAAAATCATTTTCCTCTTAAAATGGGAGTGTTAATACTACATGACATCAGTGAATCCCAGGTGTTTGCTGTGCTGTTTGCTCTAGCTGGCACTCATTTGAACTGGTGCTCCCACAAGGTACTAAGTGGTCTCAGATTTTTTAATACTGCGCACACTGAGTGTTAGGACCCATTCTATGCTGACAAGGCATCTCAGGCCAATTGTGCCAAATTTGAAGGCAGGAAAAATAAAACGTATATATACATTTGGGGCACTAGCAGTAAAAAGGTATATATACGTTTGGACCGTTTATGGGTTAATGTCCAGTGTCAGGTACAAGCACCACCCTATCTGGCAACTTCGCCACCGCTTTCGGGGAAATTTGCCAACATATTATATCCAGATCCCTTTTTTCTTACTTCA